CCTTGCAGGCCAGGAATATCCAGATGCAAAAAATCCTCCAGCTTGTCAAAAGGAGTTAGCTGGCTTTAAAGCCAAAATGACTCTTTTTTTCTTTTTTTTTTTTTTTTTTTAATTTCTCTTTTTGATAGTGGCTGCCTGTCTGCTGCTGCCCCTACTTTAAAATAAAACAACCAGCCTCCAGCAACCTTCAGAATAGATCTGTAAAACTCCGCAACTGATTCTAACAAGCAACGGCAAAACTGTGACAAACCTGCCGGCTTTTTCTTTGTGGATTGGATCATCTTCAGGGAGCACAGGACTGGCATTTAAAATTGTAGCCTTTGAACTGATTCTTTTTTTTTTTTTTTTTTGTGATAAAGCCGCTCCCCGGGACAGTGGGGAGGTGACGACAGCAGATGCTGCAATGAGTCAATGCAGAGGAGGCTGTGGGATGGCCGTGGGGTCAGGGAAAGGGTGCATTTATTGGACTGTGCTCAGCCAAAAAGGTTTGGGGTTTCTCTTTGGGCAAGTAATGAGGCCAACAAGGAAGGAATGATTTCTTTGTCCCTCTTTTTCTTGTCAGACTGCAGGTTAGATGACATGGCTTGAACTTTGAGAAAAGAATAATCGCTAGAATTATCTACGTTTCTAGGAACACAGATTTCTTATTCTGGGCTGCCTATATTATTAATTTATCCAGCTTCTTTCTGCTATATTTTTGTTCTGCGTTGCCCAAACAGATGGGTTCCCTTCCTTTGCTATTGTGAGCAGAGACATGTAAATAAATAGGCATTTGTGCTCTGTTGTGTGGTTACCTAGAGAGGCTGTTGTTTGCAAACAAAGGCTGTACTAGGATGCAAATAGCCTCGATTGGTGTAGCCTGGAGATGCACTTCATTAAAAAATACTGCCATGGGGTCCCCTATGCTGCCCTTCAATATTTATCATTGGAGCTGAGTGCGACGGCAGCGGCAGCATCCACCAAAGCAGAACTGATCAAGAACGGTGTAAGATGTTGACATTTCAGAAGAAAGGAGGAGCAAAATGTATAAGCTCTCCTCCTCTCCCCTCCCAATTCTCTAACCTATTGTTCCTTTAGATGTTAGAATAAATAAAGGAAAAAACATTGCTCTGGAGTGCAAGTCAGCCGTTTCATAACGGCTCATGTACATGCAAACACAACATCCAGCTTTCTCCTCTGGCCTGTGAGCAGACCCAGACAGTTCACACACATTGCCTTGCTCCACACACAGTAGCTACTCGTGGTTTTACAGGGTCTGGATGCCGCTTTGGGGAATTTCCTCATGGACCACATGGAAGCAGTGACTGTAGCTACCAGCTCTCAAACCCAAGTCCAGCTCTGGGATGGAGATGCATCCCTGCCTGTCACCCGTGAACCTCCCAGGAGCAGAGCCTGTTCCGTAGGGTTGATGGCCATGGTGGGTCCTGGTCCAGGACTAGGCATCGCGGTGACAGAAGATACCAGCATAGCTGTTGTAAACTCAGTCCCTGTTAAAAATGCAGAGATCATTAAAGCTACATGCCCATGCTTGCCCTGGTTCAAGCTGCATTTAAAATAAAATGTAGGAAACCCAGTGCTGGGTTGTACAAAAGAAAACTGGGTCTGAGGGCAAGAATTGCCTTGTGGTGCTGGTCACAGCAGCCCTTCAGCCCAAAGAGTGCAACCACGATTTAGGGCTGCAAGGAGGAGATCGAGGACGTTGGAGTGGTACAGAGGCAGATGGAAAACCATAAAAACATCTTGGGCACTTCAGATGAAACACTCGAACAGAAATGCCTCCACTGAACACAGGATTATAGCCACATGGCAATAATAACAGCCACAATCAGAGCAACGAAGTAGCTTTGCATTTATGCGCAGCGTTCTCTACTGAGGATGTCTAGGCTTCCTTGGTTACCATGTGAGCCTCAGGTCTCAATTCCTCTGCCTTTGTTTTGCCTGCCAAAGTCTCTGCAAGGATTTTGGTGCTCTCTTCCACTGAGTGTTAGTACTTGGGTGTTTATTTTAAGAGATGGGCAGCAACATCCCTCCAGGAGTCATACCTAACTGCCCATGCTGTGCCTGTGTGGCATTTGGGGCATCAGATGTTCTACCTCAGTCAATAAAAAATGTCCCAGGATAAAAAATACTGCCATTTCCTTTTTGCTTTTCCAGGAATAAAGCATGCATTTGGAGCGCAGATGACAGCAGTGCCATCCGTACGCCAGGGGAGAGACTCCTGAAGGTGTTGAGCAGACAGGAGCAACACTCCGCAGCTGCAGCACAGGGAGAAAAGCAGCATGGGATGGTACCATTTTTACTGTCCCTATTCTGCCCTCAATTATAAGCTTAAGTGATGGCTAATAAAGATGATCCAAAACAAATAAATTGAGCTGCTGCTCTAATTAAGCGGCTTTTGCTGCATGCAATGAGCCAGACCCATCTGTGTCATAGTTCAGCAGAAGCCAGGAGGGTTCCACAAGGGATTCATTTGAATCGCCTCTGAACTGCTTCAGGGAGGAAAACGCAGTGCTGACCATCATGTCCCCTACACTGCTAGCCAAGAAACACTGGTCCATTCCCCAGACAGTCATCCTGGGCGGGGGCACAGTCATTCACATCCATTTCATTTGATTTTACGGCAAGTACGTGAATGTGAGACCTTCCGTTGCTTATGGGAGGGAAGCTTGAAGCTGTTGGGAAGCAGCGATTGTTTTTCTGGCCAGATAATACTATAACAATAACACTTCATGGCTATGCCCCTGTTTTTTAACCAGCCCCATACAGCAGAGACAAGAGGCAATTAGTACTGGACGTATGCTGATTTGATGGATGAAATGGGCTGACAGGCTCCCCTTGGCAAATTGCAGCAAAAGGCTTTTCAGATGATCCACTTCATCCCACAGGTAGGGGCTGATGCCTGGGAAGGGCAGATGTGAAGGACAGCAAATACAGAGAGACCCCATGCCTTGACCACCCTGCAGATATACAGCTTTAATTTCAGGAGTCTAAACTCCCAAACCGCAGCCAGTGCTCCCGCAAACCTCCGCTCTCCGGACGTGCAGTGCCCAGTCATCTCTGCAGGTACAGTCCAAAATGTTTAGGGCTCAAATTGTGCATGAGCACAAATTTTTCCCTGAGAAATATGGAGCATCTTGGAGATATGTAGGATATTTTTCCTCCCTCCTCTGTATTTTCAAGGGAAGAGTGTAGTCTCAGGACTGTATCTTCTATGACCACAGCTGATATTTTAAAATAATTCATTTGCTCCAGAGAAGAGCCAGTACGTGACCCTTTTGCAGGACTGCAGTCCAGGTTGTGTATGATGTCTTGTGACAAAGAATCATTTAGTTTGGAAAAGACCTCTAAGATCATCAAGTCCAACCATTAACCTAGCACTGCCAACGTGCCCCAGCATATCTGAAAATGGTACGAGCATTCAGCTTGAGCCTGCTCCCTTCTTCACGTCACCATGACACACCAGGGCTAGTGGTCATGACCCCAGTAAGAAAGGCACTCGCTCCCTAAGCTATTAAAATACCATTTATTGGAGCTAATCCTAGAAGGAAAAAGGGGATAGCACAGAAAATCTCACATGCATTCAGATGCAGGGCACTCTGCCTTGTGCAGCATCAGTTGGACCTCTGATCAGGGCACAGCACCCTGCACAGACCCCATCCATCAGTCCTGTCGCTGACACTTTGGTCTTTAGAACTCTTGCAGGATTTTATTAGAAGAAACTTCCTCTGTTCCCTCACCCCAAGTGACGAACAAAAGTGTGTTCACATGCAAACATGCTGCTTCACCTGAAGATAAAGACAGGGACGTGTAGGTGGTGTGATCGCCGGTGCCAAGCAGGAGCTGTCTCCGACATGATTAGCCAGCAAAGCTTACCCTGTGCCAAGGGATACGCATGGCATAACATGGGCTGGACGGCCACGCTGTACGTGCGGCACAGCACAGCCCTGTGCCTTCGCAGGGTAACTGCTGGCTGTACCATGGTCTTCCTCTTAGGGTCACAACCTTAACAAATAGCCACACTGATTTCTCCAGACCCAAATTTGTTGTCTCACACTCCTTCCCCCACATGCATTCCCATCCGCCTTCTGGACAGAGAGTTATTATAAGATGTTTCAGCCCGAGAAGGACATTATTTTCTCTGAAAATACTTCTCTGAAAATCATGCGCAAACAGCAGCACAGCTTTGGAGCGGGAGATCCCTTGAGGGGAAAGGATGAGCTTGTGGTTAAACCATGGGATGGAGAGTCAGCAGATCAGGGTTTCTCATCCTCTGGCTCCATGAGCTTTGACTCACCCCACGGCCCCTGCGTGGTTCACACATGTTTGGTTTCCCCATCTGGGAAGCCGGTGCGATGGCACGCTGTGACGGCAGCACGCAGCCATTTATAGCTCCTGGGAACCACCACGTGCTCCTGCAAAGACACACTCTCTTGCTGCAAAAAGCGAGCCTTTGGGATGCAAAACACTCCTCTGCAAAGTTCTCTGCCGGTGTGGTTCACCGGAGCTGCAAAGATCTACTTAGGTATTTGAATATCTACCCAGCATTTAGATATTTACCCAATATTGAAAGCGTCAGTCCGTGCTCAGTGCCCAGTCCCCTGGGGATGCACAGCCGCGTCGGGCAGCCGTGCCCCGGGGAGCTGCGCTGCGGGGCCGGACTGCCAGGGATTGCAGCCACCCTGCTGCCTCCCCAGCCACTCCGGGGTTGGTTGGGGCATGATGGGGCCTGGAAGGCCCCAAGGCACCCTTTCTTTCCCACCCCCATCCCCTTTCACCCATCCATTCCTCTCTGCCCTTCAGCACCCGCTGGCTCAGCCCCAGGGCATGGCTTCCTTCGCTCCCCCCTCACCCCCAGCCCACCACTGCAGACCTTTGCTCCCACACCCCCTTCCTGGAGCATCCCTGAGATCCTCCTTGCCTTTAGCAGGGAGGGCTTTATGAAACACTGCTCTGGTGAGAGGATGGTACAGTCTTACCTCTTGCAGGTTCTTGTGTTTCAGGATGGGCATCCTGGGACAAACCTCCTGGAGAGGTGCTCAGGGCTACCAAACCCCACGGTGCATTGAGCTGGCAAAGCCCCTGGACATGCGGGATGTCCCGTCCCCTCCTCTGCAGCCCCACCAGCTACAACTGCAAAGGCTTGTGGCATTTGATGGATCCCTGAGAATAATGTAGTGCCCTTATACTGGGGAAATAAATCAAGTCACGCTCCTCGGGGGAGCTTATACCTGCCTTGCCTGGTCTGCTCTTGTCTCCAGGATCTATTGTTCCTCTGCTTCTCTCCTTCAGCTCCAGTCACCTCCTGCTTCAGCATCCTCTTCTCTTTGGATCTCTCCTGCTTTGTCCCCTCTGCAAACACTACTGCCAGTGCAGGGGCCACCAGTTTATGCACTGGAGAAAGCCCTGCTTTGAGAATTTGACAGTACCTCCAGCCCCGTCTCCGCTTGCTCTGCCCTGTCCATTTGCCCTGAAACTCCCCAACATGAGGGGCTGCCTCTTTTTGGAGTATTTGGGCAACAGCTGACAACAGCGTAAGCCCTGCTGTCAAATCAGCCCCTTAAATGCTCCATCAGCAAGAACAGAATCGCCTCTCCTCGCTGTTACATCTCCAGGCTCTTTGCAGAGAAGAGGGTCTTTGCCTCCCTTTTACAAGTGTGGACACTGAACCTACACAGGTGACTTGTCCGAGATCTCCAGGCAGAGAAGCAGCAGCAGAGCTGGAAGATCTCCTAAGTCCCATCCCAGTGAAGCTGGCTAAGAACAGGACATACAAGCAGACAAAGGTTGCATGCAGGTTGCAAAAGGTATAGAAGACAGAAGGAAAGAGGAAGGTTAAATCCAGGATGCAAGGCAGTGCGATGTTCAGATCTCACCTCCCTCCCACATGTCACTTCCAGTATCCGCCAGCCCACCCCGACATACACCCCCACCATGGTGGTGGAGCATTCAGTACGTATTTGCCATGTCCATGAAAGAGCAGAGCTCTGCAAAAGTGTTTGTGGTTTTTTTTTTTTTTCTTTTCCAATTATTTGCACTAGGGAAAGGGGATGATGAGTTTAAAATCCACAGAGCCTCATGTACCTGCACCAAGGAGATAAAATCCAGAAGTCATCTGTAATGATCAACACAGACTGAAAGAACAAACATCCCAAAATTGAAGCATAGCACAAAACTGTCCCAGCACGATAGCTGCTCCTCAGTGCATGCTGTCCATTTTCCACCAGGTCCCATGGGACAACATCCCAGGGGAGAATCCACACCGCCACAGCAAAAACAGTCACTGTCCCCAGTTTCACCTGCTTGAGACTGGAACCCCATGACTTAGGGAGCACCAGTGTCTTTTGAGAGATGGGACAGCGCAGGGGTCTGTGTGGCAACTGGAGAAACCAGGATTTGGTTATTCGGATTTTGCTGCAGGGTCTCTAAAATTCTTCTGCTGCTGTGGGATGGAAGGGAGTTAATGTTTGCCCCCTTCTCTTGCAGGTCCCATTACTGCAGGTTAAGTTTTGCTGCTATCTTGGCCTGCCAGGGATTATATCAGGAAAACCATGCTCTCCCCTTTACTTCTTGTAAGAAGGTGACTGATCTGTGCAGAAAGTGTAGAGTGACTAAAACGAACTAATGTATTAAATTCTCCTTGGTTTAAGAGCTGGGAAATTAAGGCCACTGCAGATAAAGCAGAGGCTCACTTAAGGCATCTTCTTAGAGCCGACAAGACCATCACATTTTAACATCTTCTCTGAAAATACTCAATGTAAAATATTTTGCATTTTCAAGGTAGCCTGGCAAAGAGCACTCATGCTACTCTAAGGAGAGCTACAGCAAATATAATGCTTGCCTGAAAACTAAGAAAACCAAAGCCTAGAGAGGTTTTGGGCAGGGCTGGGTTCTTCTGTCCTAAGCCTAGAGCTCCTCAGTGCTGCAGTAATTCACATAAGCACCTGAGACAGCCCAGCATCATGGGCAGGGCTGCCAGCCTGTCCCTGGCCAGACAGGTCACCCTGGCATCCTTCAGCCTGGCATGGACATAGTGACTGTTCCCCTGCTGAAGGCACATCCCCACCCCTTGTAAAAACCAAACCAAACCAAACCAAAAAACAAACAACAAAAAAACCCCAAACTCTCTGGCACTCAAGCCCCTACATCTTTCAATGCATGGGCGATGCTTACGTGGTCCTTCTTGCACTAAGCCCTTCAAGCTGAGCCTTCTCCTTTGGTTTTCCAGTCCAGGGGTGTTACGTCTTACGCCTTGATCACAATTCTGAAGTCCAAAGGTGTGAAAATATCTCCTTTCCTCTGCAAAAACATGCTGGGATTCCCAGTTAAAAGAAATCCCGACCTAGTTAAGCAAGCAGTTGCTGTCTGCTGGGCTGATGCTGCCATCTCCTGCCTACCTGGGGCTTTGCTGCTGAAAAATTCCCCAGCCCTTGGCCCAGGGAGCTGCCCATGGGCAAGGTGACGGAGGTGAGAAAAAAAAAAATGCAGGAATGTAAGAATTTAGGAATGGTCTTATGGTCCTTCATCAGTCCCTGTGGATGGAGATCCAGCTGCATGTCATGGAAGTTGTCCTCTTCAAGCCTTTGCGTCGTGGTTGGGGATGCGAGTGAGGGGTGCTGAGCTCTGCCGGACAGAGAAGGCACAGGCTCTGCGTGAGGAGTCACATTCGGAAGATGAAGGGGGTAAATACATGCAGTAATGCAATTGCTAAGTGGACTGTTATTAGGCACAGCTTGAGCTGTTCACGGTTCCTCCTGAAAACGCAGGAAAATCAAATGTTTAATTCAGAGAGAACAGCAGGACTGCATGATTTCTCTCCTGACATCCATCCAGTAAGGGTTTTTTTTTGGCAGGGATACAGAGTAATTGGTGTGACTGGCACTAAAGCTGTGGCGGCAGAGCATGTCATTGATCAGAAGGTAAGGGATACAGAGCATTTGTTTTCCAAAATTGGAAAAGACTTTTGTCTTTTTGTTCAGGGCTTTAGCTCTGCCAGAACTGCTGCCTCACAAACCCTCCGATTACTTTTTCCCCCCCCCCCGGCAAAGGAGGGTGCTTGGGGGGGGGGGGGGGGGGAGTTTTTCCAAAGAGCAGGCTGTTAAAAGATGTAAAAACCGTTAAAACAAACCTTTTCACAGACCAAGCCCCCACGGTGCCTCGCCATGGGTTCAGTTCAGCAGAGCTTCAGCCCCATCCCTCCGTGGGACTACTCATGTTGCAGGTCTTTGTACGCGGATGCCGTGGCACATCCCCGAAGGTGCTGGACGAGGATGCGGTGGCATTGCCAACCACTTATGGCACAACCTCGCTGGTTCTCGACCACAGGGCACAGCTCCAGCCAGGGTAAGCAGCAGCAGGAGCAGCTAAGAGGGCAGCACATGAAGCAAAAACCCCAAACAGGGGCATTTCAGCTGTCAAAAATGTGGTGAGCACATCGGTATAAGCTGGGGCGGATAGTTTCAGGTTTGCGCCTTGATTTTTCCCTTCATCTAAGCTGGGGGAAAGTGTGCAGATCCCATGGGGGTGAGGATCACACAGCGACCAAGTGGGATGTAGCCAGTGAGAGATGTGGTCGGCAGCCCTAACCTGTTGAATTTCAACCGTATTAAATGCCAGGGCCTGCAGGGAAAGCAACTCTTATAAACTAAACCCACACAGATACAGTACGAGTGTTCAAGCTGTTTAACATGAACTTTCTGTAAAGAATTTGACATTCCTGGTGAACCTGTTCAGCACCGAGACACTTTATAAACCACAGGCCACATGTGGTGATGAATTAATTCTCCATTCCCCTCGCTGGCAATGCTGCATAGCTGTCTTACAGAAGACGAGCTTGGTGTCCTGGTGTCTCTCCTGGTGGGGCTCTAGGGCAGCGGCTCTGGTTTGGAGGGGCAGGATCGTCCCGCTCCACCCTGGCTAGGGAGCTGTAGGGGGGGGGGTTGTCTGTAACTCACTGGATTTTCAGTGGCAGATGAAATGCCAAGTTCTTCGCTCCTGTGAAATTTCGGAAATGTCACTATGCAAAGCCATAGAGATTAAGCGACTACCTGACGTTTATACGGAGAGACAACAGCCGAGGTGGAGACAGCCTGCAGAAATCACGTCTACACCTGGATTCGTGCAGGCCTCCTCCCCTGCCCCGCAGCGGAGGCAATTACTCAGTCTGTCTGAGCAGTACAGGAGTGACATTTTCGCTACAGCCTGGAGTGAGCGTACTTCTGCTTGTAAAAATCAGCCGGCAAATGCAGATCCCTACTCAGGAGATCATTTCTCTTTGCTACATCAAAGCTTTGTGCTGGGGCAGAGCCAGCACCTTGGGTTCGGCTAGGCTGGGGCAGGGACAGACCTCCTTTCCGCAGAGGTATCCCCTTGAGCAGCTGTGGTACCCAGCACATCCCTGATGGCAGGGGGGGGGCGGATTCTTGTGGCCTGGAAACATAATTGTCCCTTTCAGAAATCAATGGCATGTTTTTCTCCTGTGCCATATACATATTTTAAACATAGGCAGAGAAAGAGTTGGGTCACTGGCTCCAACTTCCCATTTGCTATAAATAAAATTAAAAAAGAAACACACCTCCAGCCTAAGATGCTGTGTGCTTCTCTGAGCAGAGCAGCTTTCGCACTGGGTGCTGGGTTTTCCTTTGGTCTCAGGTGATAGTGGCAGCTGGAAGTGACCCCAAATATGAGCTGGCTCTGAGGAGCAGCACGAGCCACGGTGCAAACCACAGCCAGAGCAGAGAGGAGGTAAAGATGCTCACAAGCTGCAGAGCAGTTGGCACGGCCGTCGCGGCCATGGGTGGGGACATCTTCAGAGGCAGCTCTGCAAAGTTGCACCGAAATAAAAGTCTGCCTCATGCCAAACCCGTGTGAGCACAGATGATGCTGTCGACCCGTTGGCAGGTTTTGCTGCCCTTTGGGAAAAGGTTAAGTGAATCTGTCGGGCTCTGTTTGCAGAGATGCAGCCAAGGGGAGGCTGTTTTCGGGTCCGGATGGAGCTGACCACCTCCCAGGGGCAATGCCCCTCCTTAACCCCCCTGTGCACACAGAGGGGATGTGGGTGGGACAGGACCTTGGCTTGTTGCGTTTTTCTTTTTTTTTTAGGGTTTTAAGTGTGTTCTCTGAAAACTGACACTAAAGTACAACAGCCCACACCAGAGCTTTTCCTACCTGACAGCTCAGCATCTGCCGCTCTCCAGCCCTCCTCAGCGTGCAGGTACTGCTTCAAGACAAGGTGCGAGACCTCCACTGGATCCATCTTCTGTCCTCCCTCTCCTTGCAGGCTGGCGTGGGAGGGCAGGATTGTGAGGATGGATTTTGCTGGAGGAAAAATCCCCTCAATTCCCAGTAATCCGCTGCTTCGAAAGAACGCATCTGCCATGGGAGCATACTGAGTTTGTACCAGGAAGATGATTTCCACATTTTTTTCCCCCCTCTACTAACTCCTCCTTTCCCCAGTATTGCCAGGAGGGAAATGGCCATCCCTTGGAGCACTCTTCAAACTAGAAGAGGTAAGCATGGAGCAGATTCCTCAGGATTATTTTAGCAAAGCTCTTTTTTTGTAGGTAGAAAGAGGTTTTTGTGTGCAGTTAGGCCTCTGGCACAGAAGCCTCCAAAGTCCTGCTTCTCTAAGAAACAGAAATATTAAATCCAGAAATCACGTTCTCCCCTCACCCTTTTTAATGTTCTTTCATTAGGTTTGAGCCAGAGAGTCATTAAGTCACGGTTCGATAACGCAAGGCCAGAATTGCAATGTCTCAATGGCAAAGTCATATAAAATCGCTCACTCCCATACCAAAGAGTTTGTGTTCTTAAAGACTAATGTGCTAGGATAATATGTCAGAAGTGGATTAGTGGATCCTGATGTGACTTTATCTGCATTTTCTCCCTCGCCCCGAGCACCTCTGAAGGTGTTCAAAGCACTTTTTTTTCCCCCTCCTTGTTTGAGGGTATTTTAATCCTTAAGTAATGGCTCAACTCCTCAGAAGTATTTACATAGCCACCGTCCAGCATGTTCAGGGATGTAAGGCAGAGGAATACCCAGGAGCTGGTCTGATCCCGAGTTATTTCAGTCGCAGCAGTGGTTCCCAGGGATGGAAAGCCCAGACTCACATGCAGACTTCTCCCATGCATCCTCGTTCTGCCCCTTCCTTCCCTGCAAAGCCCTGCCCTGATGGCCATCACCATAAATGCCTGTGGCTTTGAGTTTGCAGGTAAATGGAGCCTTCAGCCACGAAGTCACAGGAAAGGTCATCATCTCCATGAAGTAAAATGCGCA